AGCCTGTGTACTGGGAAACCTGGTCACGTAGTTCAGCCATTATACCAATAAAGCTTATCTTTAAAATATGTAGATTTTTGAAAATACTAATGATCATCCCAAATCACTCCAGGCATTTCTGAGGCCGGACTGTATGATCGGATGCCGGAAGTTTGGAGTGATTATCCCCCTTTGGGGGCCGGAAGTTCGAAGATAGGAATTGAAGTTAGCTGGTATTATTGCACGAGAAAAAAAAATATGTAAATAATATTATGCAAAACGCCTTAACGGCTAAGTACTTAGCTGAAATTGCCACACCTCTGCTAGAATACTTAATAATATAATTCGATAATTTCGTCTATATCCACTTCGGATGAATTATCTTTTTTGTCATTCTGTAACTTCGATAACGTTCGATATCGTGTAATTTCTAGGCCAATTACTTTGTACCATATATTTCGCAAATCAGCTAGTAATTTGCACTCATCCGAATAATATAATAAATATTGTTCTATAGTCATGGCTTTTGATTCGCGCTTACTAGTCTTAGTAACTAATTTATACATACTGTCTCTATACTCTATATCAACCTTAGAAATTTCTGCGAATAATGTTGTTAGCTTTAAGCGGATGGATTCCTCTTGCTTGTCTAATGCATTGAGGTAAGAAGACCAATAAGCATCATTTCCCGAGTATTTTACTATTTTATCAGCATACGTGCTATTAAATAAATTTTTCGCATAAGTATTAGCCTCTTTCCACAGATGGGATATAATGGCATGACCTTTTTTCGGACCAGTATGTAGCTCTTTGATATATCTTCTAACCCACTTTTCAGCTGATTTCTGCGCTAAGGCATCTCTTATTTTTGATACCTCATCTTCATCTATTTCGTCTTCATCCTCTTCGTCTTTATCCAGGTCATCTTCATTCGTGTCATCCTCTTCATTGTCGCCCACTTTATTACCATCTTTTAACTTTTTTAAGGCCTCCAGCACAATTTCGGATGATGGCTGGAATATTTCATCATAGTTAATAAATCGTGCACAAAGACCGACAACGGTTTTCAGATAATAGCTAATATCGATCTTTTTACCTAATCGCCTCACTACCTCTGGATACTCCATTTTATCTCCCACCTTCTGTGAAGAATCATTTTCAACTACAATATACTCAAAACGCTCACCTGGTTCTGGAATTTCATAAAGATAAGACTCGGGTGTTAGGCCCTTTTTTATGCGCCGTTTAGCGTCTGCTTCTTCACGGGTGTGTCTATCCCGCATTCGTGAAATGAAACGCTGGACACTCTTGTTATTTTTATCGGGCCTCCACACAGCAGTTTTAACCACTTCATTAAGATCTATCTGTGAAATATCATTTATGGTCTCTTTGAGCACGTCCTCCACAATCCGATGCAAGGTGCGAGTATTATCCAGCCTCATAGATTCATCCATGACCTTCTTACCCACCTCACGAAAGTATTTAGACTGCCCTCGCTTTACAGTCTCGACTCCCCGGATGAAAAGCTTATTATTAAAGTTGGGTTCTCTTCTATGTGGGATGCCGTAGTATTTTTTCTTTCCAGTAAATACTACTGGAAATAAGACTTCCTCATACGCCATTTTGAGATAAGATGATCCATTATCATTTCTGAGAAAGTTATTAACTTCATCACGAAGTCTTTCTATTACTTCCATAGAGATGTTCACCATTCTAGACCAATATTCTTCTTTCGAGATCCCATTACCATTGTCATATGCCTCATCACATTTCTGAAAACATTCTTCTGGACAGACTAGATATAAAGAATCTGTATCTCCATATTTTTTCTGGAAACCCTTGCTTTCAACGAAATCCGCAACAAGTTTGATATTTCTCTGTCCAGCCGAAGTGACACCCCCAGCCAGTTCACGCAAGAAGAAAGGGGATTTACTATCCCCAGCAGTGCCATAAAATGAATTCATATACACTTTAATAGCATTTTGTTGCGTATTAAAGCAAGAATAATCAAAACAAACTGAATCAT